CGAGTTATTCACCAATTTGCGGCTACTAACATGTATCGAAATCTTATAACACATAAAAAATGGGATTTGATTAGTAGCCTCTCAATGTCATGTATGTCGATCTAACTGCCGATTCCTAAAAACTAATAACGCAATTATGTCGACACTCGAATGTGAGTAACGTCGCATCTGTATTGGTGCGCTTACTCTATTTTAAATATGAAGATAGAAAATATTTCTGCTGAACTTACAGTTGGATTTTGATAATTGATACGTGTACATAAATTTATTTACTACCAACAAAATAAAATAAAAAAGATCTCTTTAACTCTCCAAAAAGGTATAATTGTAAATTTATCAAGGCAAAAATAATAAAAACTCAATCGCGCGACTTACCAAAACGTTTGTGACTGTCACGTGATGATTCCTCGATGAAAAACCAGGAAGGGATATTTGAGGGACGGAACAAAAGAGTTGAAATAAGACAAAAAAACGAAAAAGTAATATTTTTAAAAATTTATTTATGTTTGTTTAGATATAGACTAGAAAAAAAACAATAAAGTAGTAAGGTTACATAATATTAATAATATAAATTAATTATCATTATTATTATTATTTCGTTGGTAATTATATAATGATGAAACACGTAAATTGTCCTCAATGTTCTCTCTCAATCGCTTTGTACATTATTCTACATAGCATTGTGGAAAAAAAGATCAGCATTCTCAGAGTATCTATGTTATAGGAAAGAATAAAAACATTTAAGTTTTTTTTTTGTTTATAGTAAATTAAATACTCTCGTACTTATATATTTCTGCTATGTGTATGTACATAAATTAATAACATTAAAAAATAATACACACTGTAAATCACAAGTGTTTTAAATAAATGTTACTTACAATATTACGATATTATTACAATACAATCAACGTTTAGCAATCGACGTGTTTCCAATTATATAATTTGTAATAATAATAATAATAACTAATCCAGTTAAATTAATAATAATAATAATAATAATAATATAATAATAATAATAATAATAAACTATATACAAAAGATAAATTAGAATCGACATACATCACATTGTGTAGATGGATGTAGCCTTTATGATGCGTATGATGGAATTCAAAATCGGAAAGCGACAAAGCGAAGCCACACCCTCGTCACTGCCGCACGAGAATATAAAAGTGAAACAAATGGAAAGAAAACAAAATTTAACAGACGCCGCGGCTTGTTCTCAAGGCTGCGGAGATCATCGAGTTCCAATTGAAAGATGCGTGGGTTAGACGAGAGAGTGACCATCACAAAGAGAATCCATAAATAAACTAATAAAGCTCGTAATAACGATTATATAAACAAAATGATAATTAATACACGGGAGACAGAGTATGCTGTATATAATGGTCGTAAAATGAACAAAAAAAGGAAGAAAAAAAGTTTTACGCGCTGCAATTCCTTAGCAAACAAATAATAAATCGCAAAATGTTCGCTGCTTCTTACAAGTTGCGATCGTAAGAAGCGCAGCTGAAGTTTACACAAGTTTTTGTAATAAACTACGATTGTATCCCGTATGTTTTTTTTTAAAGTTCATACTTAAGTTCACACTTATTGGCCGTTTGTTTCTTTTTTTTTTTTTTTGTACATTAAATTCTCTCTCTCTCTCATTTGAGAGAAATTCTCATTCGCGCGCGTAAATTCACGACAATCTTAACCAGACAAACTTGTGTTCGTAAACTAATCAATTTGCAAGAAATCGAAATCGTTCATTTACGAACAATCGTGAGATGAAAAAAATTGTGTTCGTAAACTAACCAATTTGCAAGAAATCGAAATCGCTCATTTACGAACAATCGTGGAACGAAAAAGTGTGTTCGTAAACTAACCAATTTGCAA